TCCAAAGTTGGCTATTTAGATGAACAGTTTAATTCAGTTATTAGAAATTCATTTTCTATTTAGTAGGAACATTTATTTTTCAAAGGTTGCAGAAATGGGACATAATACCTGATGATCCTTTGGCTCAATCACCTTCAGAGCTAGAAATTTGCTCTTTTTGGCTAATGTGTCTATGGCTGAACATCTATCTTTAGCTAAGGATGAGTTGAAATGGTTGTAAGCATAGTTTATAGTATGATCGGGTTGTCTTCTGTATCTGAGAACAGGGAACCTTTGTTTCTTCATTCATAAATGAGGGCGTTTGATTTGATGGTCTCCAACTTACTTCACCTCTGTGACTCTGCATTAAATGATTGATTAGTAATGAATCGACCAATTAATTATACTCCTGTTTATTTCCATTCTATCAACTAATTATTTACTGAAGCATGGCCTTTGGCCATGACCAGAAATATTAGGAGGTAGAGTAAGAAATGAGCTCAGGTTTAGTGGTTTGAAATGAAAGCCTCATGAAATTTAGACAGTCAGATTTACATAAAAACTTTTCATTTGTAGATCAATTATTAGCTATTCAAAACACACTTTTCCCCTACATAAAACAATCTTAAATACTGACTCCTTTCACTAGGATAGACTGTAAAAGCCTATGTTAACTTATTGGAGTGAAATATTGTATATCAGTGATGAAAAAATATGAAAAAGAGTTCTATTATGATACAAGTGATAAACATAACATAAAGGCAATAAAACTGAATGATAGTTTATCACTTATCTAGACTCTGGAGGGTTGATGTTTAAGAGAAATGCACATATAACTGGGAGTTAAAAAGATAGATGGAAACTATTGTAGAGTGTGTGAAAGGGATTTTTTAGAAACTTTCAGGATTTTTAGAGGCTGGTTGCAAAGTATATGGCTTTCCTCTCCCTTGGAATAGTGTAACATTAGCACTACTTCCAAGTTTATCACCTGTGATAAGATTTGTTTTTTGACACCCAAATGCACTGAAAAGCAGGAGAGTGAATAAAAATGGAGAGAAAAATTATTCTCTGAAGTAATTGCCCCAGACGTGAGAGACACAAAGATGGAAGGCATGTGAAGGTAGAGGAGAGAGGTGGTGTGTGTGTGTGTGTGTGTGTGTGTGTGTGTGTGTGTCTAAGACAGCCTGGTCTGCAGTTAATTGATGGGTAGATGAGAAATCAAGAGGAAAAAGGTGGAAACTAAGGTGTGCACATCCTTCCTCAAGGGAAAGTATGTTACAGTGTGCTATGTGGAAAAGCTTATAAATCAGAGTGAGGGCATCCATTTTAACATTTTGCTGGGTCACTTATGGCCTGTATGTTCTTGTGACATTATTAAATTCTCTGAATTTGTCTTATCTGTAAAAATGTAAATAATAGAAGCATCTACTTCCAAGTTGGCTGTGAGGGTTGAGTGAGACTCATGGGTATAAAGCCCTTGAGAACTATATTTAGTTTTATGTGGTGAGAAAAAGTCATTGGGTCAACCCAGATTTGACAGAGTCCCAGGCCAATTTGTTTGGCTCCAGAGTGGTCTTTCATAGGCATATTTTTTATTGTGTGGTCCAAGAACTGTGGTAGGTATTTTACATATTACTTTATTTAGGGAAGAAGCAGGAAGTAGTATGCCATTGGCCAGTTGACTGTAGCAAGCGTGATAATCTTAACTTACACAATGTCAGTACCTAAGGAGAGTATTTACATTCCCTTGCAAATGGCCACAGCTTGTGTAAAAAAAAATTGAATGACTTTAAAAATATGGATAAAAATTTTTTAAAAAGTGAATGATTTTGGAAACCAAAAACAGTATACTCAGAAATGGTTTTCCTTGTCTCAAACACTGCCTGTGATTTGTACTTTTGCCATGACATTGATATTAATCTAAATTTCCTGGATTTTTGTTAAGGCTGAAGCAATCATTGGTTGGCAGTACGTGCTTAAAAATAATGATACAAATTCCAGTTAAAAAAAAAAGATTTCCAGGATGCAACAGAACTAATTAATGTAATACATGAGTTGAACTCCAAGCTCTAGACACTCTACAGATCTCTTTCAATAATTTTTTTAAATTTTTTATTAACATATAATATATTATTAGCCCCAGGGGTACAGGTCTGTGAATCACCAGGTTTACACACTTCACAGCACTCACCATAGCACATACCCTCCCCAATGTCCATAACCCCACCCCCCTCTCCCTAACATTCCCCCCTCCCCTGGCAACCCTCAGTTTGTTTTGTGAGGTTAAGAGTCTCTTATGGTTTGTCTCCCTCCCGATCCCATTTTTTTTTTAAGATTTATTTATTTATTTATTTGACAGAGAGATAGATCACAAGTAGGCAGAGAGGCAGGCAGAGAGAGGCGGGGTGGGGGGGGAAGCAGGCTCCCCGCCAAGGAGAGAGCCCGATGTAGGGCTCAGTCGCAGGACCCTGGGATCATGACCTGAACCCAAGGCAAAGGCTTAACCCACTGAACCACCCAGGCCCCCCCTCTCCCGATCCCATCTTGAAGAATATTTTTAATTTTTATGTATGATTCAGTGATAAATTTTGAGCCAATTCCTCCATCATGAGTGGTCTACATCTTCAAGAACAAAATGAAGCAGTAGATCAATAAATTTGGGTTGTTTTATAGATACTATTCTTAAAAAAAAAAAAAAAGGCAGATCCAAAAATGTGCTGAGATTCTACCTGAGCCTGGCCCGGTGCTCTGTTCTGATTCACAAGGTAATGGTCAATGCAATTCTACCGTTTGTGATCTGTTAACCTAGAAACTGAAGTGAACCTAGAAATCAGGATGTCATAGGATCAAGTTTGAATTTAAAAGTAAATATTTAATTGCTCTTATCAACGTTCATTAGTCCCTCAAAGTAGAGAATATATGCTGAAGAGGAAACAAAGAAAACAATCTTTGGGAGGTTTAATCATGTGTCATTAAAAACTTTGACAGGTATATAATTATTTGGAAATAATTGAAGACACAGAGAGCATGAGTACCAGAAGGCCACAGATTGCCTCCAAATCTTTATTTGATGGGGAGTTCTATTTTTCTGTGACATTGACAGTAGATTGTAAAATGGACTCAGCTTGAGTTTCTTTTAAATATAGGAAGAATTTAAATGCAGAGTATGCTCACGTATCACGCGAGATCTGTCAGAGAATACAAAGTAATTATAAGATACAGTCACTCTACTCTAAGTCGATCTTTAGGGAAGTACAGTATATATATACATGGAATAGTACAATAAGGATGACAGTATAATGCAGAATTATGCAAAAAATGAATTATTTTTGGCAAATTCATATCTATACACTGTGAAACGTATAAAACGGAGTCAGAGCTTGGGTTGGCGTTTAGCGTGTCATTTACTAGGCATGTAGCCCTTGCTGCTTTAAGCTTTGGTTTTGCCATTTGCAAACTGGGTACAGTTTTATCTGTCTCACAAGACTCTTAGGAGGCTCAAATGAGAAGAGTATTTGAAAGTGTGTTTATGCTTATGATAGAGATGACACAAACTACAGGAAGGATGGGAGAAAGAGAGCGACAACCGCACTCGAGCGTGGGGGCCGTGTCTCAGTTGACTTTGTACCCCCCGCCCCCCTGCCTGCCATGTCTGGCACTGTGCCTGTCTCCCAGAGGAGGCTCGGGAAATGTGTGTGTGTGCTTGCATGCCACGTACTGTGGCAAGCCCTTGACATATGTTATCTTTTCCATCTTCACAGTCATCTTGTGCTGTAGATACGTTGTCACCGTTTCCTAGATGAGCAAACAGACATTCAGAGATTTCAAGCAGCTCCCACCCTCCTGCAAGTAGGAAGTACCAGGGTCAGGATGAGAAGCTAAATCTACTTGGTACCAGGGCCCAGATTCTTCTCATTACATCACGTGGGCTCTCCAATGTAAGGGAATTAGGATTTTTGGACAACAGCGTGGCCAAAATGAAAAGCCCAGGCCTTGGATAATACTGTACCCGTTGCACAGGCAGCTCCTCGACTGGCTTTCAGATAAGTAGGAGAACGCTTCTCTGTGCTGTCTGACACAGTGAACATGGCCTTTTGTTAAACTGTCAGGTCTGATTTCTGCCCTTGGAAGTAAAATGCACAACAGTGAGAAAAGAGCATATAGTATCCCATAACCTAGACTTGTCATGGGGATAGAAGGGAGAAGAAGGGCAGCGAGGAACACAGACAAAGTGGTTCACCAATGTCTTGGATTAAGTTGGTTACACTGACCAGTCTCCCTCTCTCACTCTCTTGTTCTCATGCTTTCCGTCTCTTACACTCTCTCGGAGTTAGCAAAGGCTAGCATTTCCATTCTTTTCCATCTTTGGGGGGGTGAGGAAGGTAACTCCACGACCGAGGGGCGTACCCCGAGTTCTTCACTGCTAGCTTCCTGTCCGTATCCTCACGGCCTCTCCATACCGGCGGCTTCTCCTAAGTGAAGTTTTGCGGTCATGCCCGGTTTGTAATGAACAATAATAAAATGGCTCCAGTTTTCGCCTCCAACGAAACAGTGACTTTAAAGCTCCAGACTCTGGGCTGGGAAACAGGACACAGCGTGAGTTACCACACCACGCTCTCCTCTATTTTTGCCCCCCTCTGTTTATTTGGAAGGAACATCAGGAGAGTGTTAACTTCTCAAGAGGAGGAACACACTGTGGCTTTGCAGGTTTACATAAGACACAGATGGAAAAAAAAAAATTTAAACTTGGGATGCATTAAGAAAAAAATTCTGTGGCAACACAGTGCGTGGTAGGTGGAGAGAGCGGAGACAGGAGACCGTATTTAATAAGATAAGTGCAGACGATACCTTGCACCGTTGCCGGAGACCAGTTGGTAACAGTGTTTGGTTTCCCGGGAACTGCGCTAACATGCCCGAGATGAACCCCAGTGGGGGGACACGTTCCGCGGCCGTCCCCGACCTGTGGTAAGTCGGCTGGGTTGAATTGTGAGAAGCTGTCAAATGTTGCTCTGCTCTCCAGCCCTTGGCACCAGCTCCGCTGAAATGTGATGCCATTGGTTTTCAGTAAAGGTTCCTTTCTGCAGGGCTGCAAACACAGATCAGCTGCTACTGTGTATACACAACCGGGGAGCAGATCAACCCGCACAGTTAAAAGCAGCCTTTTTAACCCTGAGACTTTCCAAGATCTCTTCTTCACGCAGGAAGTTTCCTTCTCTGTTGTCAGATTTAGCACCGTGCTCTTGTCATCAGATCCGAGCTAGGCTCCCTGCCGCACAGTAGAGAGGCTTCCTTAAGACATTTGTCCTTGAAACTGCACCAAACTCTTGGAAGAACCCAGAACGTGTAAGTATGTATGATTTAGGCAGCAATAGCACGGGGCAAAGCTGCAATCAACCATTAGACAATATCCGATTAGCAGTGCAGGAGGGATTTTTCCGACGTTCTGTTACATTCATTTTCAATTCGTTCTGAGGAAACAAATCAATTCTAGCTTCAGATACAGTGACTTTGCAGTAGATGGGGTTGTAATATGTTAGCTTTAACTATTTGCTCTTCTCATTTAGCATTTAGATGTGACTTGTGGGACAATTATTGCGGGCATTAAACTATAAAACTTCTAAATTTTTATTAGCAATTATAATTGTTGGTCATGTCCATCTTGAGAAACAAGTTTGCTTTGGGGACTGTTTTTAAAGAATTAACCACATCAATTCACAGACAATAGAATGAATTTGTACCGTTCTCGCTCTCAATAAAACATATTAGTTTGCAGTTTTAATTTACTCGTAAAGAGCATTCCACTGAGGTTTTGCCTTAATTGAATCCTACCCAGAGCTGTCTGTCTGGTGTTTTACTGTCTTGTATGTATGTGTTTAAGTTACTTTGCTGGGATTGCAGTCTGGTGAAATCTGTGTTTAGGCACTTTGTAGTTCCTGAGAACATTCGCAGAAGATAAAGTCTCATGGAATTTTGAGGGGTGCTGGGTTTGTTTTAAAGGGTGGTCGTATTACCCTTGAAAGATTTTTTGATGCCCCACACGAATGGCTGTTGGATGTAGACCACAGACCAAACGCTCTCAGAGTCGAAGTCAGGTCTCAGCTTGTCCACTTTCCTTACTCCAACCAGTAAAAGCCCATGCCCCCTTCCTATCAATTTTTAATATGCGCCAATACTTATGTTTATAAGATTAATTTCTCTCAGATTAGTCTGATGGATAGCTGGATTGTGGTTTCTTAAGAGCTTGCTCCCTGAAACCCACAGCAGAGCTGCGTGCCATTTAACTAGTGAATGTAAAAACGGGTAACCATGGATTCAGCCACCACTCGCTGCTAGTGCAATGACTTGTTGTAAACAATACAAATGAGCCAGGAGAGCAGAGGCAACCAGACATGAAATGATTTTAATAGAAATTACGGTAAAAGGTCATGTGATGTGGTATCTGCTTCTGTTCAGTTTTAAAGGGAAAGTCTGTCTTTTCTCCCCGCCGCCCCCCACCCCTGCACACCTCTTTCCAGTCAACCCAAGTAGATGTCTTTCCAAACTTGGCAGGTCCCACTCTCTGCTTCCATGGAGAAGGGCGGCCAGTGTCATCCTGTGTACAGTGTGGTGACTTAATGGATTTTCACCGGTAAGTACCTTTATTTTAGAAACGAAAAGGAAATCTGTATTTCAGGGCTTCCTTCATGGAAGGTCATGCTAATCGTGGGCTAGAAGTCTTCAAGCTTTGACCGAAGAGGAATAGGTCATTTTGTTCCTTAGCTTTTCTGGAATACAGTTGTCTTTTCTCTCCTTTCCCACGTCTCTGGATTATTTTGGAACCTCGATCTCGCTGAAAACTGTTATTTGCTCTAGAAGCAACTTCTGCAGTATGGTAATGAGCACACGCTGATACCGGGAGCGGTGCTGGCTCTTAACGTCAGGGTTCTCACCCAGGCATACCTTGGCTGAGTTCTCCAAGGACCAAGTTTCACAGTTCCCTTTGCCTTTCTCTGGTAGAGATGGTTTCTGTATGTAAAAATTGTGGTATTCATAAATTTGCCTCTGACCAAGAAATAGTAACAACTTGTACCCGTGTGAAGTGTTCACCTCAGGCTTTGTTTGGTGTACCGATACCAGCTATGCTTATTTAAAAGGAAATGAAAGAAAAAAAAAACTCTAGCCATAAAAGCTGGGCGGGGAAAGGGGACCCTTAGAAGCCAGATCCGGAGGGTGGACCCAGTGGGTGCTTGGTACACGGGAATGAAAGGGCTCAGTCTCTGTGCCGGAGACCCGCGGGTACCCACGGGCACTTGAAGCCAAGGACTGTCTCTAGGTGTGCTGTGTCTCAAGGTGACACAGACCTGAGCCGGTCTTGTGAGCCACACCTCCGGCCACCTGCAGATGGTATAAATAATCACATCATCGCGGAACAGAAGAGAATGCCACGTTTATATTTTACCTCCTTTTAACATTCAGATGCTTCTGCATAGATGTGTAATTGTACATGTGTAGATGCATGCAGAGCAATGGAGTTTCAGGTGTTGAGTTTTCTGTTACTGCCTCGCCTTCTGCAGACCCAATCAGCACGTGAAAAACATTGGCTTGTAATTTATAATCTCAGTAGGATGTGAGAGCATCAGCCCCTCTATATGCCCCAAAGAGTTTTATCTGTTGAACTAGGGTTGTTTTTTTTTTTTTAATCTGTAAGTGTTAACATAGTGTTTATATTTAAGCTTTTTCAAAAATCAAGCTTTTTAAGGTGTTGGAGTGCCGTACTGCATGCTTAGACTGAAACATTCTTCAGAAGGTCATGGTTAGCTGTGACCTCACGGTTTACTGTTCTAATACTAGCTTTGCTTATCGAAAATAAGTGAAAGAAAAGACTCTAGTAATTCATGTTGAGGGAAAAGGGAGCAATTTCAAAGCAGATGTGGAAATTCCAAGTAGGGTTTTGGGTAAATTATAATTAAAACTTTGTTTTCACTTTTCCTGGCCTTGATTCTCCAAGTTGAAGGGTAGGAATAAAGTGTCGGCTACAGGCCAGTAAGGAGCAAAATCCTGGAGTCAGACGTGGGTTGCAGTCTTTGTTCTGGACCCCACGATGCTTAGGATTTGGGGCAAAGTTTCTTCATGTCTTTGAGCTGCCCCCTCCTCATCTCTAGATTGAAGACAATAATGCACACCCGTGCGTGAAGGAAAGGGTTAAAGGAGAAAATGCATAGAAAGTATTTCATACCATGTCTGGCACATAGCAAGTGTCCAATAAACTCTTGCCAGTTTCCTTATTTTTGTTAATTGAGGAACCTTGTCCTTAAGTAGAATCCTGCTACTTAACCAGTGTTAAGTATCCTGCTGCCAACCAGTGTTGAAGCAGAGAGAGACAGTATTCAGATCCTAAGTTGGTCTTTTGCGACAACTGTCTGCGGCAGTAACTTGTCATCACGTAGGACATGGTGATTCAGTTTGTAGCATAGTGTAGTGTTTTATAGAACCCTTACTAAAAGCCAGAAGTAGCTCCTTATTACTGTATTTTTTTTTCATTTATTTCCAAATTATTTAGGAAAATTATTGTTTTTTAATTTAGGATTTCTGATGCTTTCGGTATTAAGTCGACATGTACGTTTTGTCTGTGATCCTGTTGACAGAGTTGAGAGCAGAAGGACACTTAAAGGTATAAGAGACTGATAATTATATCAATCCTAAAAGCTTAAAAGTAGTGGTAGATAATGATATATACTAAAGAGCAGTAATAATTAACAGGATAGTAAACATGGAGGTTATAAGCTACTAAAGAGACATTTCTTGGGAGGATTGTAGACATGGTCACTGCCCTCTCACCTTCCTGGAACCTAAGGGCGTGCTTCTCTCTTTCCTCCTTCTGTCTTTTCCCTTTTCCTCCTTCTCTACACCTTCCTTCCTTCCTTCCCTTTAGCTCTTATATATTATCTCAGCTATATACATTTTCTTTTTCTCTGTGAGCCATAAAGGTTCAAGGAAGAGAAAAAAGAGGAACAGGAGACCCATGGTCTTTTCATGCTAGCTCTGATTTTATAAATGGAAAGTTTAAGAGGAGTCAGAAAAATCTGTTTTCTTTCTCTTGCTATTGAATTGGAGAGGCACATCTGAGGTGACCTGCAGACCCCAGGGAAGCCTTGCTCAGTAACTATTTGTTGATTCATTGATTAAACGGCATGGAGAGAAGGGACATCAAGCACGGAGATTCCCTCAGTACTGAAAGCTTTGAAACCCCAAGCTGCCATGTGCAGTAGGATGGCTTCTCTGTGACCTTCCAACAACTAATCTCCTTTAAGAACTGAATCAAAGCGGTTAAGGGATTTTGTCAGATGGATTTTTGCCTACAGTTGGGTTTTTGGCAGTTGCATGTAGAACGTAATACATTCTTCACAAGGATATGAAATTTTTTTTTCTGAAAGGAATGAAGACAAGGTGCCAACAGAGATCTCTAGAGAGGGACTCTTGTTTACCCACGGTACTGTTCAGGCAGGGACAGCTGCAAGGTGGATGACTTTCTCACACTTCCCGCCAACCTTCTCCTTCACCACCCGTGTCTGATGGTCTAGTCAACAAGCTCACTCATGCAGTGGGCCCCTCTCCATAATCTTCTCTTCCAAGGGCAGAGAAAAAGCCTGTGATCAGAATTGATATCATATGAGTCACAAAAGGCATCCACTGTCTACTTCTAGGGCCATCATAGAGTATAGAAGTTATTTTAGTGGGCAAACAATTTACTCAAAGTCACACAACCTAGGAGTTGTGAAAACAGGAGTAGGACTTGGGATTTCTGATTCCCAAACTAGTGCTTTTCGGAGGGCTCTTGCCTTCTGGTGTACAGACTACAAAAAAGAAAGCTTATATTATAGTGGAAAAAAATAATCTCGATTAGGAAATGGCAAATCTGTCCTAAAGGAGTGTCTCAGATGAGTACTGTAGGTCTGGATCTAATCCTTCAGTGATAATTTAGAAACCCTGTGATCTTCGGGAAAGACACTTAACCATTCTGAGCTATGGTTTCTTTCATTGTAAAACTGATATTAAAATAACTGTCACGCATGTGTTTTAGGTTGCGTTGAGGATTCAGTATGATTACATGTGGATATTAGCTTGTCCAGTGCTTGACAGGAGACAGGTAGCAGTTAGCATTATTGACATTCCTCTTCCCTTTCCAAGGTCAGTGGTGGAGTCATGGATGGTAGAATTATGGGAAAGGGCTTTTCCGGATGCATCCGGAATGGTGTAGCTTGGTGGTGTTCAACATTTTCTTCTGCTACAACACATATAGGAAATGAATTGAAGTCTTACCACATGCCTGGCCCAGAGGGGCCCATTAGTCATGATATGATGGT